ATTTTAGACCTTTACACATGAAACCATTCAGCTCATTTAGGAGAAAATTTCTGTGATGATTGATTTTTGTAACTATTTACTTTAAAAAATGTTATTATTTACAATTATTTTCACCACAGAAATACATTAAGATTTCTTCAATTCCTTCAAAAATATTTAAATCTCATTAAACTGGCTCTGTTGTTGTCTTTACCAAGCTGTTTGCTTTATTTAGCTTTTTAGCTAACGTTTTCTTTCGTAGCTTTTAGCAAATGTTTTGTTTTTAGCTTCTGACCAGTGTAAAAGCTTCTCTAAGCCTGTAGCTACTTTTAGCTTTTAGTGACAATTTTGTTATTTTAGTTTTCATCCAACAGTTAGCTGTTTTTAGCTTTTACCCAGTTGAGCTTTCAACAGGCTTTTTGTTGCTTTTATCGTTTTTGCTAGCTTTTTCTTAAACTCAGCTAACTTATTGTAATATTCAGCTTTTAACCAGCTTTTGCTGCATTTAGCTTTTAGCCAGTGTTTTGCTTTAATGGTTTTTAGCAAATTTTGCCAGTATTGAAGCTTCTCTGGCCTTTTAGCTAACCTTTTGCTACTTTTGGCTTTAATGACAATTTTGCTATTTTAATTTTTAGCTAACCATTATTTGCTGATTTTAGCTAGCCTTTAGTTAGTTATAACATATAGCTAGTCTCTTGCTCCTTTTAGCCAGTTTTGTGCTTCTTGAAGCTTTCAACATGCACTTTGCTTCTTTTAGATTTAGATAGCCTTTTGATACTTTTAGCTATCATTTTTCTGCTTTTAGCCTTTCACTAGCCTTTTGTTACATTCAGCTATTGCTACATTTAGCTTTTGGACAGTGTTTTGTTTCTTTTAGCGAGCACTCTGTAATATTTGGCTTTTAGCTTTAACAGCTGAGTTTCAGCTGACTTGTTTATTTTGGTTTTAGGCTTAGGCTCCGCCCACAGTCCAAACATAAACCTATTAAATCTGTACAACAACATGTGCACCATTTTAAATGATTTTATTCATTAAATGTTTTGTGTTTTCCCTCTTCCTGCAGCTTGCTCTGTTTTAAAACTGAAAGCCAAAACTTTTACCAAAGACTATTCCTGAAAAAGAAGTATTTCCTGCTCAATAGCAGGAACTGGTTTTCCTGGTTGTCCTGGTCTCACCAGACTGGAACGAGTCAAAAATATTTTATGGACAGAAACCTGCTTTTCAACTATTTCCTGTATACTTTTATTTTGTAAACAGACAGTGTATATTAACTGTGTCACTGCTGAGTCAGCATCCACAGATCCTGACTTTAAAGAGTTAATGAAGCACCAGAACCGTCCTGAACCCACCTGTAAGGACAGAACCGTCCTGAACCCACCTGTAAGGACAGAACCGTCCTGAACCCACCTGTAAGGNCAGAACCGTCCTGAACCCACCTGTAAGGACAGAACCGTCCTGAACCCACCTGTAAGGACAGAACCGTCCTGAACCCACCTGTAAGGGCAGAACCGTCCTGAACCCACCTGTAAGGGCAGAATGTTGTTGCTGCTGTCGGTCCGGAACACGCCGTCCTCCATCCAGGGTTTGGGGGCCAGCGGACCCGGTCTGGGGAACTTGGGGGGTGCAATGACGTTGCTGCCATAAGGCTTTTTCATTGGGGAGATGGGGTTCAGGGACGAAGGCATGCCGACCCCCACGGCCCGCCGAGGGTCCCTGCCCGCTTGAAGCCCGCTCCAGGGACCAGAGGCGGCGGTCCAGGCTGCGTTCTGGTGGTTGTTCCAGGTCGAGGACGAGGAAGATGAAGACCCCCTGCTGTTGTTCAGGACTGTCTGATAAGCGTTCCTCTGGGGGAAGGGGCCCTGGCTGACGGGGGACCTCCTCTGGCCCATCTGCGGGGAGAAACTGCCCCCGAACACCGGGTTGACCTGGTGGGGGAAGTTCTGGAAAAGCATGGTTCCGTTGACGGAGGGTACTCCCTGGAAAAAACTGTCCTCCGCCGTGTTCGTGGTCCCCGTGGACCAGGTGCTCCCGAACGAGGAGGAGGGAGGGGAGGAGACCGGGGTGCCGGGCTCCTGGGGGGCCTGCTGGTGGAAGCCCAGCCCGGGCAGGACCAGGGACTCCATGGAGACTCGGAGCGCCGAGGCCGCCTGGCCGCTCTCCGTGGACGGGCTCTCCGGCTCCGACGAGGAGGGCTCGGACGACGGGGTCGGCGTGGAGGGAGGGGGGTCCGCCTGGGCCGGGTCTAGTTGCTGGTGAAGCTGGGCTTTGTTCCTGTCCATCAGTAAATCATCCTGCATGGTTTGTTGAGCTGAAACAAGAAAACAGCATCACAGAGGGAGTCGTGTTAGCAAAATATCTACAGGACCTGGATGTACACTTTCAGGGCTAATTCAAGATGGCCGCCACAGCCAACTGACCTCTAAAACCTGATCTAATTCAGTCATTTTACCAGATAATTAATTCAAACTTGTTTGAACCTGATCCACAACAAAAACCAGCTTCACCGGTCAGTCCTGACGGTCTGTTAGCAAAATATCTCATGAACTAGGGTTGGGCCAAAAACATTAATCACGATTAATTGTGGTATTTAGACGATAACGATTAATTTGATGATTAATCCCCTGGTCACCCTTTAGTCACATGACCAAGTTAGTGGGAAAGATTCTTCGTTAAAATCCGTTACAAATTGCGTCAAAATTGCGGACTTCTTCAGGCTGTACCTCAAATTTAAAATTGTGTTGATAGATAAATTAATTACACAACTTTTTTCGTCATATTCGAAGCAGAGAGGAGCGGACTGACATTAATCGTATTAATCGTGAAGTGCCAAAAAAAATCGATTAACGTTTTTTTGACGATTAATCGCACACGATACGATTATACCCAACACTAGAACCACATTTTAATGAAACAAACAGAAATATTCCATGTGTGTATAAGTACAATAAGTACATACAAGTAGAAGTCCATCTGCAGCAGTTTTATCTGACGATCTCCGACCGGATCCGGTTTAAAGGGACAGCTGTGAACCAGAACCCTGAACCGGATCAAAGCCTGGATCCTGCAGGTTCCGACAGAACCACGGAACCGGGCTGGAAGCTGTGGGTTTTCCGCCACGTCTCCTTCCACGCAGGAACTCCGGAGCTGCAACGTGAAACTGGTTCTGCGCTTTTCTCCCCCCCAAGGACCTCCCCTGGATCCAGGTCCGCGCGTCACAGCTGTCCTTCAGCCAGGTGGAGAGGCACCTTGACCCGGACGCTCTGATGCTTTATCTTCTAACAAAAACAGATTAATTTATTTATTTTAYGTCCCTTTCTTCCTCTGTTTTTGTCCGCAGTAGAATGTGGCGCAGCTGGATCAGTGCGCTTCCTGTTAGAGATCCATCCCTAAAGGAACATCGTGTTTTCACTTATTTCTCTTTTATTTACACGAAGAAATCTGAACCAAAACAGCAAAATCGCGATTTGCTCCAGTTTTAAACAGAGACCGCCCCGTTGGCACGGCTCTGCTCCACTTTTACGCATGCGTTTTAAAAGCTGTAGTTGGCTAAAAATAACTATAAATACAAGCATCAGTCAAAAATAAAACTGCATGTCTTTTTACAAAACCTGAGCCTTTAATCCTTTACTTTTAATTTCACATAAGACGTCGTGAAAACCCCCAAAAAACCAAACCAGAAATGAAGTAAAGTAACTTTCGGATGATTTTAGCGCAATAAATGGTTTTTAAATGTGATTAAAAATATTAACTCAGCTTTTCTCCTCCGGAGCAGCGCGTCCAAGGTCAAAAACCAGCTTAGTCAGCCTCCTCCAGAGGCTCGGAACCGGGATCAGAACCGCGGACCTTCACCTCAAACACCGACCCAAAACCTGAGCCCATTCAGCTGGCCTGGGGGGCCGCGCTGCGCCTGACATCCGACCATCATGAGGCTGAAATCCCCCTCCTCTAATCCATATGTGAACGACACACAAACACACAACCAGGTAGGCTACACACACACACAGAGCAAACACCTCCACACAAAACTGCCTTTACCTTTAATCCTCCGCCTCTGTCAGACTGAGGGAAGAGGTTTTCTCGCCTCCTCTGACTTCACAAATGACAAACGAGCTGCACGGAGGTGTCAGCCTGTACCTCAACAGCTGATTGACTGCGGCGCATGGACGGAGCCGCAGAGGCTTCTGGGAGTTGTAGTCTTCAGCGCTCGTCTTTTATCTCCCTCCGACAAATCCCRTTTAGCTCTGTAGGCTAACTACTTTAGCATGTAGCTAAAGATAAATATAAACTTCAATATATATTTATCACAAAAACATGATATATCACATTATATATTATAATAAATTGTTAAACACAGTAAAGCTACATTTCCCAGGTCACGTGACTAAAACRCCGCCGTGCCGTTCTTTGTTTTGATGACGTAAGCACGCAGGGACGGCCAGTAAATGGAGTCAAACCATCACGCAAAACGAGGCCGTAGCGGTTTTACAGCGCATTATGTTTTAAAATAACACAACGGGTCGCAGATTCGTGTTGTTTAAAAGCCATGATCACCAGTGAGTAAATTTTTTCTTTAACTTAGCGGCCCGTTTTGCGGTTGACGCACCGTGTCAACACCGAGGCCCGGTACGTCGCTGCGTAGCTAGCTGATGCTAACYACTTAGCAACTAGATTCTGTTCGTTGTGCGTGAAAAACAGCGACTAATTACCGAGATTTTTGTTGATGTCTCGCTCGTGTCGTCGTTAGTTCTGCCCACCAGGAAGACCCGGTGTCAGTCGGTACTTTCTCTACAGCCATGGCGGAACAGACCGCGGTGGTCGCGCAGCAGATTTTGGACAGGTGAGTTCATGTCGGAGCTAACGCTAGGCGCACAGCTAGCTAAGCTAGCACSCGTCAGAACGCACTTATGTGAAAAACCTGTCGACATGGGTTGTTTGTTATTATTTTACAYCGGTTTGTGACTTGGAGCAGTGTTTTTAGCTGTTCTGTTTTTATTAAAAAGTTTGTTAAGATCGGCTAATGGCTAATAGCTGCGGTAACAAAGCTAGCTTTATGGATTGATGATGGCTGCAGTGACCTGGTGTCACCTCAACCTGCATTTACTACCTTCACTTAAGATGTAGTATGAGGGAAAACCTTCATTTAAACCACAAAAATGAAATAAAAGTCCATGAATTGTTGTTTTAGGTGTAACAGAAAGAGTTTGAAACAAGATATATAAATATATGCTAACTTTGCTACATCATACTAAAGAACAGGACCAGTGAAAAATCTAATCATTAGAGGAAGTCTTCACTGAAACACCTCCACCTGTGGAACACGTCAGCTGAGAGGCGGGGTTTGTCACTTATACCTGCTAYAAGAAGACAATTATAATCAAGTTTTAAAATAATTGACCTGTCAGATGGGTAATGGATACTTTATGTAGTATTTCTTACAGGACATGTAAAACTGTTTTTGCAGGCGAACATGTAACTTAATATGTTCTGAAGTAATCACTCAAATTTAATGGCGGTCAGTAACGACATGTTGCATTTAAACACGAGGGAAAAACTAAACTATGAATTAGATTCAGAAATAAAACAGTTTAAATATATTCKTCATAATAGAAATAGTGTTTAAATGTGCAGAATATCAGCTGTTGTTACACATGTACACCCTTACACCATGTTTTATCTGAGGCTGAGTTTGTGTCTGAAAATAAAATCCACCACAGCTGCATCGTGTGTGTGTGTGTGTGTGTGTGTGTGTGTGTGTGTGTGTGTGTG